GGAGTGGGTAAAGATGCTGACACATCCATAGAGTGTATCATTTTGTTCACCTTTAAGAGCTTCCACTGCAGTGGTTTTTCCTTGGTCAGTATTCATATAGAGCGTAACTATCTTGATAGTCTGTGCCCACTCTTAGGGTTCCCTCCAGATAACTCTTCCCTAGATTTCCTTGTCACTAGTCTTCCAATCTGTTCCTTCCATGAAACAGGATCCTCTTACTATCCAGTAAAACCATTTGTAACTGCCGACGAATGAATGTAGATCAGTACTTCTGACTCTCTCACTCTAGATAAAATGGACAACCAAAATGAACCACCTGATGTTTTGGGGTGATTTTCCCTTGTCATTGTCCTTCAGAGGGGTTATAATAGTACTACTTTTTGTGATACCCATATAATGTGCAAATTCATTTGAGAAGTAGGCTTGATTTTTTTCTTCCTCAGTTCGCTGATTGCAAGGAACTCCTCAGGAAGCTAAAGGAATGGATTAAGGGAGAGCAGACATTACAAGAAAAGTTGGTGTCAAAGGCATCTGAGGCACTTTCTTATGTAACTTACCTGTACCTTCTGGTCCACCTGAGCCCACTCTCCTATATACCATTTCCACTCGATGATAGATTTCTGCTAGGCATGACCAACATTGTAGGTGAGTAGGTCAGAAACACTTGTTTCATGATCATAGTTCAGGCTGCATGGTCACCTGTTTTTCCTAAGTTCGATACTCAGACTTCACCATGGTCAATTGACAAGTTAGAAGCTATTTTTCAAAAGGAGAACAGATTTTTGAAGAAAAGGGCATATATTCTCCCCCAATACTAGAGGACTATGCAGTGATTCTCCTGTTGATGTTTCCATCAACAGGAAAGTCTCCATCTTATTTGCCATGGAAACTTCAAATATCAGTGTCGGATCTGCTGGATCATCAGATCAAAGTGGTAAATCACATCGCACTGAAGCCTGAGCCTGCTCTGCAGCTTCCTCCTGCTCTGGCCCCACTCAAGCTGGCAGCTCTACAGGTGACTCTGTAACCAGGTCAAAGCAGCACACCCACATGTGGGACCAAGCGTTGTGCCTCTTTTTCTGCGGTTGGTGGTGTGAGGTGCAGCCACATGGTTTTCACCTCAGAGGGGATTTTTCAACATTTCCTGGACCATTGAACTCCTAGAAACTTCAATGAGGTGACAAGTCCTGGAATTGCTGTGGCTTTTATCATTAGACCTACTTACTGTTCAATTTCCAGCACAAGCGGCTTCTTACATTTTAAGCATCTCATGGCTTCTGTAGCCACACCCTCACCCTCCCTTTCTGACAACCGTACTATGTATTTATTTTCACCTGGCACCTGTCACAGAGCATTAAAACTTTACCTTGCATCCTCTTTCTACTGGGCTAAAGGGTCCAGAGAAGAGCTACTGTATTCTCTCTGGTTTTTATCTAACCTTCTAACACAACTTTCAGCACACTATGTGTACTCAGCAAAGGAATGGAAGTAAATTATCTAAGAATAAATGCAAAAAGTAACAATTCTCTTCTTTGAGATGAACACCATACATAGTATATCATAGACGTGCTGTGTACTTCTTATTTCATCACATGGAATATTAAAAAGATGTATACACAAGGGTCAAGATGTAACAATTTTTGTATTTTTTTACTTCTTCATCAAGGACATTCCTAAGTAAACCTTTTCTTCTTTTTCAAGTACATGGTGGTGATAAATACAGACAATGTTTACTAGCACATTTTGGGGTTACTAATTTTACTTGGGTTAAGATGTCAGCAATTTCATTTGCACCACAAATGTAAATGTAAACAAATTGAAAAACTCAAATAATATCTTAGTATTACTGTTAAAAGTAGTTTTCACCTTCCAGGCCACCTGACAGACTCTTGGGATCCTCCAGTGATCCACAGACTCACATTTTGAGAAGTTCTGTTCTAGCACTTACTGTTTTCTGTAGAAATTAACCTGATTTTCTCTCTGGTCTGTACATTTTTTTTCTTTGTCTAACTAGAAGCTTATCACTTATGTGGGATTAAAAAATTAGAGTGTTAACCTGAAAGGGCTGGCCAAATGTGTCAGAGGATCGGAGGTGGGGGACTGTGTCAATACAAAGCTATGTCCTGTTAACACTTATGAATTCTATATATAAAAAGAATAATTCTCAAAATTTCAGATACAAAGGAAATGATGCTACCTCTCCAGATTATATTTCTTCAAAGGCCATATGAAAGATAAGCTTCTTAATCTGCTTTAGTTTGAAAATTCTTTCTTTTTCTGGTTAGTATTATATTAAATTTAAAAATTATTTTTCAAACAGCATGAATTTTATAATTTACATCTTTCTATTAATATTAATAAATTAACATTAATTCCAATTAATGTATACAAATACAGATTTTCTTTTTGTTTTGGATTTCTTACAAAAGCTTTTTGGTTTTCTTAATTTGCTTATCTTTCTTCTTAGACATTTAATTTTTTTGGATTATAAACAGAATATTTCTTTTGTATTATACCTTTTGAATTTATTGCTTGAAAATCATTTATTGAATATTTATGAGTAATCTTATTCTATGTCTTAAGTTTAAAATAAATGACTTTTATTTCACTGTTGGGTATTAACATTTGCTGATAGTTATTTGAGTAGATATGTTTAATCTTGTAATAGGATTAGATACTTCATGTTTAATTAATTGAGATTTTCTATGATGAATATATTTTGAAGTTTGCTGTTTTTTGTTATCTTGCAAGGTTACATGGATTTTGGTCTTTTCAACTTGAATTATTTTAATGGGTGTTCTAATGTTGAAGCATCCTTGAGTTCCTGGAATAAAGTCTATTTGTTGCAAGTGTATTTTTTCATATATTTCATTTTTGAATGAGAAATGAATTCTCCTGGTTTAAAATTCAAAAGTTACAACAAAAAGTTTCCCTTTCACTCTGCTTAGCTAACCTCACAGCTCTCCTCCCCAGAGGACAGCAGTGTTTCTGGTTTCTTTTTCTGCTTCTCCATAAACTCTGTGCATATACAGCCAAATACATACAAATATTAAGAGAACTAGATTCATGCCCTCCTTTTTGTGAGACAGTGGACAAGTCCCTTGATTTCTTAGAGCCAGGGACATCTTTTAACTAGTATTCTAAGTTTCCTCATAAACTTTTCAAAACTATGTAGCAGAAAACTGACAGATTAAAATTTAATCTTCTTAAATGGTTTACTTAAATTATGTCAGTCTCTTGCTCAAAAAGCTCTAATGTTTCTTTGTTTCCTACTGACAAACATCCATATTTATTCTGGCAGTCATCCAACCCAGGCCATCTTCTTGACTCACCTCCTAGCACTCTGTAATCCATTTATTGCTCCAGCCAACTGTATCTTCCGTTTTTCCTTTCAAAACAAAAATTTCTTCCTTCCTCCCCTTTCTCCGCACCCCCCACTCTATTTTATGCACAGAATATCTTTAAAATCAAGATCTGAAAACATTTACAAAATACCCTAGAGGATGTTTGCCATTCTTTTTGACTACTCAGCATCAGGACCCACTTTCTTGTAACAACAATAATTTCTGAGTCATTGGTAAGTGTCAGGCCCTGCTCGAAATAGCAGTTTATTGTCTTATCAACAACTTCACCAACTCTAAAAAGGTATTATTATTATTACTCATCATCCTTATTTTACAGTTAAGAGACTATGGGCACAGAGGATGTAAACAGACACTGAATGAGTAGATCTAAACTCAATCTTGATGGCCTGCCTGCAGAGCTTGTGCTCCTGTACGCTACTGCCTCCCGCCATAGAAACTGAAAACATCGGGTACTCACTGTCATGGGATGAACTGTGTCTCTCCAAAATTCGTATATTGAAGCCCTAACCCCCAGTGCCACAGAATGTGACAGTATTTGGAGACAGGCCTTTAAAGAGGTAATGAAGTTAAAATGGGGTCGTTAGTGTGGACCATAATCCAGTATGCCTAGTGTCCTTATAGGAAGAGGAAATTAGGACACAGGCAACACACACACAGAGGGATGACCGTGTGAAGACACAGCAAGCACGTAGTCACCTGCAAGACACAGAGAGAGGCCTCAGAAGAAACCAAACCTGCCAACAGCTTGATCTCGGACTTCCAGCCTCCAAAATTGTGAGACAATAAATTTCTGTTGTTTAAGCCACTCAGTCTGTGGCGTTTTGTTACGGCAGGCCCAGAAAACTAATACACCCGTACGTCCACCCTACCATGCAGATAAGTGTGGGCACATGATGTTTCCCAAACTTTGACTGAGGGGTCACTTAAGCAGAAAAGGAAATATTGGTGGTAGTTGTAACAAAATGAAAATTATAGTTCCAGGACAATAGGGGCAGTGGGTTTGCAGCTGTACACAGCGTCCTGTACTAGCAGCTTTGAAGGTACAACCTGCACTACCTGGAGCTCAGAAGAGGAGCCCGTGGGACACTCAGTGATTTTCTGTATTGTTCCTGACTCAACAGCCTTTGAGTGCTGTTCTTTGATCCTACTGAGGATTCTGAAGCAAACCCAAGATTAATTAACTTATGCCTTTTCTACTTAATTCAGCCAGAGGCAGTATCTCTTGCTCAGCAATAAGAACCCTCACTTATAAACTATCTAATTCCAGTGTTAAAAAAACAGGAAGCTCAGAGATTCATTATCAGAGGTGATTGTAAGAAAATGAATAGCGCTTTCGAGAGATGTTCTAGAAATACTGGGCACGACATTCTTTCTTAATTGAGTTCTTACTTGAATTAAACTGAATCTGTTCTTACTCTAAACTAGAGCAGAGTTCAATGAAGGTGGAGGATAGAAGAGTTTTGTATCTTCTGAATCTGCTCAGTGCACACTTCACCTTTCAGAGCACATTCTATCAGCCGGATGATGCCACCACAAGATGGCAGTGCCTCTCTCTCCTCAGACTCACTGGGTTTGAAATCAAGGTGTGTGCATTGAAAGCAAAGGATTGAGCTTGCCTCTGATTGGCTTGGTAAGAAAACTGAGACTCTCTGGGACCCAGAGGGACTAGAAAAATATACCCTGTAAAGAGAGCTAACTTTAGACTCAGGAACCTGGCTCCATTTCAGGCCCCAGAGTTGAGTCTTCTGTGATCCCAGTAAGGAAGAAGAATGGAGAAACTCCTGGGAGTGTCTTTGGTGATTCTATGGCTTCAACTGGCCAGTGAGTTGAGGCTCTTGGTGATGGGAACAGGGTGACTGAAGTTCAGAGCCCACAAGACTGAGGGACAAACACTCCTTGTTAACTTGGAAATGTACCAGAACATTATGGAAGGAAATGTAAACACTAGAGAGTGGAAATGCAATGACTGACTCCTCATCTCTGTTCTGTGTTTCTGTCTAGGAGTCAACAGCCAAAAAGTAGAACAGAATCTTCAGGCCCTGAGCATCCGGGAGGGTGAAAATGTCACCATGAACTGCAGTTATGAAACTACTATAACCAATTTACAGTGGTATAGACAAGATGCAGGTAGAGGCCTTGCTCTACTGATTTTAATACGTTCACATGAGAAACTCAAACCTGGTGGAAGACTACAAGTCACGCTTGACTCCTCCAGCAAAAGCAGCTCCCTGTCCATCACGGCTTCCCGGGCTGCAGACACTGCTACTTACTTCTGTGCTGTGGAGGCACAGTGTTCACCAGGCACCTGCAGCCCCTACACAAACTCTGCCAGAGCTGCCTCTTAGGAGCCCCACCAGTGGGTAGAGTTGGTGGTTATGTCTTCCCACGAAAGAATCTACAAATAGCTGGAAACATGAAAGTCTGGCCCTCTCAAATTTGTGTTTCCTTGGAATCACCTTGGACTAGGGCAAAGGGCATGAGATTTAGAAGGGGAAACTGAAATGCCAGGTTCAGTTCTGCCAAGCCTGGCTGCGTGGCCATAGGCACATCATCAGTGTAGCTGCCTTTGATTTCCTCACTTGAAATGAACGATTTGGACTGATGAGCCCAAAAAACCCTTCAAACTCTAATTTTATCAGGAAAAACGTAGGCTCTGGACATTTGAGGAGGATGAGGAAGGAGTTCTCAGTATTAGAGGATGTGTACCCCTCTCAAGACTTTGGCGGGTCTTTGAGATGCAAGAGATGACTTTTACATTCCTCTACTTTCTGTATATTAAACAGCAGATACATCAGGCATTAGAATTAGAAAAGATATTAGGACTCTTTCAACCAAGCTCTTCCTCTTAAAGCTGAGGACTGGAAACATTGTGTAACGATAGAGACAAGGATCTGAATCTTTGGAGTACCAGAGACGAATCTGATTCTGCCATTTACTAGTTATGTGATGTCCAAGCCTCAATTTCTCCATTAGTAAAATGGGAATTTATAAGAAAGTCACAATTTTTCCCCATCCCACTGAGAGATGTATGTTCTCCACTACCAGGTCCTAAAGTGTTGTTTTGTGAGAGTGAATACTTCTATTACCAAAAACATAGGAATTCTCCATCCATTTATTCTTGCTCCTAGTAAGATAAATAAATGCTCCATATAGTTTTCTTAATACAGCTTTGATACTACTGAAAATGAGTTTATGGAGGAAATGAAGGCATTTGTATTTATGTGCATGTTTGATGAAAAAGTTGGGGGAGGCAGGAGAAAGGTTGTATAGGGCCGTGGTTCCTAAACGCAAGACCTTGAACCAGCACTGTCACTTGTATCAGAATCACCTAAAGCACTTTTGAAGATCTGATTATCAGGCTCTATCCCAGCTTATTCAGTTTATGATGAAATGATGAATTTGTGTTTTTAACGAACATCATCCGTATTAGTTGGAGATTGACTCAGCTTCATGTTACGGAAAACTCAGATAATGTTTGTAACAAGGTGGAGTTTATTTTTCTCACATAAAGAAGCTGTATCATATGCAGGGCTGGTTTGCTAGCTTCACCATGTTGTGAGGGATCAAGGGTCTTTCTAACTCATTGTCTCTCATCCTTAAGTTGTCATTTTTATTTTTTATACTTTCGAGAAACTGTTAGAGATCCATCCGCTTTATACACCTTCTAGGCAGAAAGAAAGAGAAAGTCAAAAGGCAAATAGGTCCATGGTGGCTGAGCCAATCATTTCCAGAAATTCCACCCGACAGCTTCTCCTTACATTTCATTTACTAGAGTGTTATTTCATGTCCTCACTCCTCTCCCATGCAAGGGAGGCTGGGATACGAGGGTTATTACTATTTTTTTTAATCTCAATGTATTGCCACCCACATCAAAATTGGGGTTCTATTAGAAGAAGTAGGAGAGAATGGACATTGTATAGGCAACTAGCAGTTTCTGCCATGCCCTCAGTTTAGGGTGTATTAGGCTTTCTGTGCTTTTTGTTTTTTGATTGCATAGCTTTTCATTTTTGAAATTCCATACCCAATCTGTCTCCCAGTCCTGTTGGATTTGCCTCCTAGAAGTCTTCCAGAAGACATCACAGCCCCCACAGTGCAATTCACCTCCATAATCCTAATTAAAAATCTGCCTTAATCCCTTGCTCCATTGCCCCCAGCACATTTGACACATCCCATCACTCCTCAATGTAGTGAGAGCGATCTTGTCAGAGCGCAAATTTGACCATGTCAATCACCTGAATCCCCATTTGCTCTTAAAGAAAAACTTCTTATTACGACCTACAAAAAACTGCATAATTTAAGACCTTGCTATGTCTCAGGCTCGTTCCATAATATGCTCCTAATCTCTCTATCGCTCTGTCTGTCTTCAGTAACACTGGTGTTATTTAAATTTCTTAAAAGCACGTTTTTCCTTCTATGTGACCCCTTCATAGCAATTTTAGGTGATTTTCTTATTCTTTTTTCTTTTGCTAAAATTCTTTTCCCTCCTTTCAAAAGAGTAAAAACTAGTAAATTCTTGTTCACTCTTGTGTGTCTGTCCAAGAGTCGGTAACTGAAGGGAGCTCAGTGTGCACTCAGAATCATAGACCTCTGCCTTCTCAAACTTGCAGTTTTTCCTTTATTCCTTTGATTATTAGATTAAAAGCTATTTCTACAACTACTCTGTAGCTCCTTAATGACAGAGGCCACTCTCGAATCCTCAGCACTGGAGTATCATTCTCATTAAAATCACCAAATCTCCTTCTTCCTCCTTTCTATCCATTAACTTATTTAATATACTTCCTTTGTTTTAAGCCTTCTCAAAGAACTATGATAATATTGCAGTGAGAAAACAAACAAGAGAATGTGGTTGAGCTTATCAGACTGCAGTCTATGGGTCTTTGGACGTTTATGTGTAAATTCTGTTGCAGGGGTCAGCAAACTACAGCTCACGGGTCAAAGCTGCCTACCACCTATTTTTGTAAATCAATTTTTAATGGAAAACATCAATGCCCACTTATTTCTGCATTTAGTGTGGCTGATTTCTGCTATAACAGCAAAGCTGAGTAGTTGCAACAGAGACCAAACAACTTCAAAGACTAAAGTATCCCTTACTTCGCCCTTCATAGGAAAAAATTCGCCAACCCCTGTGGTATAGGAATTACATAGAATTTTTAGATTTGGAGTTTTCTGTTCGATGACAAGAAAATAAAATAATAAAAGTATGTTTTTAATTATCTGGATGACCAAATTACAATGGAATACTCACCTTGGTTTTGATGCTTTTGTATTCTTTATGTCATTTTTACCAAATTAAAGACAGGTGGAATAATATTACTCTACAAATAAAGGTATCACAGTTGTTTAAATGGAGAAAAGTGTTCAGAAAGTTTGTTTATGACATGGCGCGTGGTTACTACCGACAGGCCGAACCCCAAAGCACAGAAGTTCCCGCAGTTCCTGCCGTGTTTCCATTGAAAGAAGATGCATTACTCACATTCATTGTTTGACTATATCAACATCCAGTTCAGCAGATGGAAGAGTAACAGTAAATGCCAAATATATATTTTTTCAGTGCTGATTTTACGTACTTCTTTAAATAATATAATTGTACAATGGTGGCTTAAATGGGTATTTTTCAAAAGGAAAAGTAAAAATACTAGAAGTTACTAAGCACAACAATTCAGATAGTAGTACATTAAGCTCAAATCATTTCAGTCAAGTGAGTTATCAAATACCACACATCTGCAGCTTTCTTCTAATAAGCCTATACCAATTCTTTAGTTTCTGCAAAAGATCATCCCTCACATTCATATTTTAATTTGAATTTTATTGATTTTATATTTTGCTTGCATTTTTTGTATGGTTAGGTAATTGTGTAAGAACTGTTAGCCTAAAAAGTTCATACTTAACTTCAATTTTGTGTATATTAAGACAGCATAATATTTATAAAATAGTTAATATTAGCGTGGTCCCTTATTTGAAGATCTGTATCTTATTTAGTTTTGAGAAATGCTGAATGCACCTGTTATCCAGGTCCTGGATCTGACTTTAGAAGAAGCTGGTCACACTAGGGCTCTAGACATATGCTCTCATACAGAATCTACTTCATAAAAATATAATTCTAACCACCAGACCTGTCTACTCATTCATTTGTTCACTTACTGTTCAGAGATTTTTTGAGCATCTACTATAAACTAAGGGCCTGTGTATTCTGAGAAATTGGTTACTGAGACTAAGAAGACTAAGTCCCTGATCTCAGGAGCACCAAGTCCAGTTTGGAAAACAAGACACAGATGAGTCTAATATGACACAGTAATGACAGTGATAGACGTGTACAAGGTGTGGTAGGAAAAGAGATGGGCACACTCAGCCTTGAGAGCTGGATGAGTGCTTTCCCAAGGGGGTGGCATGCAAATTGGTTCTTCAGTAATGACTAGAAGTTACCTTGGCAAATGTAGGGGAGAGAAGGGAGAAGATTCGAAGCAGAGGGGCTCATCCCCTGGTTCCAGGGCACCAGTGGGAGAATATGTCAAGAAGAGAACTCAGATTATGCTTTTTTACACTCTCTGTACACCCTAAGATGCCCAAAACTAGCTTAATACTCAGTGTGAACAGACATTTGATGCTGAGACCAGGGAGACTTAAGGAAGCCACATTGCTTTGCATCTTAAAGAGGGTGACAGAGGAATTACTCACCGTCTCAGCCTCAGGTGCCACTGTTGAGTCTGCAGAAAGTGTTTAGTACTGTCTTCTGGAGCCCTACCCCTCTTTCCAGACACCTATTTCCGTTTTATGTCTACAACTTAAGCTCCGTTCCAGGGTAAATAAATTCAAAGATGTAAAGCAGGCTGCAGGGACAGAGGGGGAACCACAAGAGGGCGCTGCTCCCTTTGGGTGGCGGTTTGACACGCATTCATCTTCCATTTGTGAGCACCTCTCTTATTTTACAGCCTGTGGCAGGATCCTGCAGGGCAGTTTGTTTTACTTCACACATGAGCCAAGATTTTCTGGAAGATTCCACCAAAGGATCAAGAAAATAGAGGAACAGCCCTCTCAGCTTTGGTGTATTCTCAAACAAAACCTACTGCTGTTTCTGCCCCAGCCATGCTGTGTGCCCCCTGCTCAGGACTTGTGCTCTTGTTGATACTGAGTAAGTAACATTTATTCAGAATTTCTAAGGTGTTCTATTCTTTGGTTTTAGGAAGACTTATAACTCCTAACAAAGTGGAGACTATCTTCTTACATTACCAATGTAGCAAAGCCTTTACTTTTTTGTTTAGGTGGGACCAATGGAGACTCAGTGACCCAGACAGAAGGCCCTGTTATCCTGCCCGAGGGGGCACTGCTGACCCTGAACTGCACCTACCAGAGCAGCTATTCTGTTTTCCTTTTCTGGTATGTCCAGTATCAAAACAAAGAGCCTGAGCTCCTCCTGAAAAGCTCATCAGAAAACCAGGAGGAGGACAGCAGAGGTTTTCAGGCCAAGCTTGTTACGAGTGACAGCTCCTTCCACCTGCGGAAAGCCTCAGTGCAAGTGTCAGACTCGGCCGTGTACTACTGCGCTCTGAGAGACACAGTGAGGGGGACTATAGGGGGTGCTGAACACAAACCCAGAGGGTGCAGGTGGGCCTGGCTGTGGCAGCCCTGGGAGGGGTGTTACCTTCTCTCCAGTGTTCTGCGCTGGAGGCTTCCTCAAAGTGCTTCCAGCTCTGATGCCTCAGAGCCAAGGAGCCTTGGAATTCTTGGATGAGTCTGCAGAGAGGAATTAGGGGAGGGGCAGTGTAAAGAGGAACCTAAACCCTGTTCTCCAGAAACGCCTCTGTTTTCAGCCCAGCCTCTTTCACCTAGATGATGGATAATTGCTGGGAAGTGACATTAACTCTGCTCCACGACAGTTCAGTTGGTATATGCTAAAATATTTCACAACCTGTTAATGAAAATTCCCAGAGTAAACAGTTCATGGACTAATGTGTAATCTTGAAGCTCCTCCCTTTTTTTTATAATTCAGGCCAAGATTGTAATTTCTTGCTGAGTTTCACTGCAGAAACACCATCTCCAGCGACTGAGACCTTTGTTCTCTCCCCTTGACTTTCCTTCCTTAGTGGTCTCTCTAGAAACGCTGCTGCCTGAGTAAGTTCTATGAGGAGAGCTTCCTGACGAGATTTTCTTTATGTCAAGGGCACTGGTTTCAGAACAGCCCAGTCAGTAACGGCTGCGTCCATGGCGTGTCTTGCTCGCACTGTGCTGACACACCTCCACACTTATTTCTGTCATCACTGCAGCTCTTTATTGTGACATGAAATAATGGTCTGGATTCTGGACTTGAGGATCTGTGCTATCAGGAATTCTAACCTCTGGACATGACTGTGGCTGCATAGCTTAACATATTACTTTATCACTGCATTTGTGCCTATGATCCTTCTGAAGTGTGTCAAATTCAGCAGCCAAGGAAACACTCAGGTGTTTGTTTATAAGAGAGAAGGATACTAATGGACTCCTGTTCACTGGGACCCCAAATGGCTAAAACAATCCCAAGTTTCTCCACACCAAAGTAGCACAAAGTAGAGAAATGTGTGCCTTTCACTGAACCCTCGGGATATAGATCACCAAGAGATACTTTTCTTAATACTCTGGAATTCTATGCTCCTGTTTGCCCTTTATCCATCTTTCCTGATGCTGTGGGATTGACAGGCACAAACGTGGGTTTTGCAAGGCCTGAGTCGCCTTTGATTCCTGAGGCTCTCTTTAATAAAAGGCAGTAAAATTACCAATACAAATTTCTGTTGCCCAGAATGATAAGGGGTCTTGAAATATAAGCCTGATTTGCTTCAAGGTGAACCTGTCTCCGGGATCCCATAGAGACCATCTTCCTCCTTAAGACTGAAATGTTGGAATAGTCGAGTTTGTCCTGACCTCGGCAGGCTCTCCAACCCCAGGCCTCCTTTCCACTCCAGCACTTGAGCTGTTCTTAATTTGAGTATTTTGAGCTCTATCTTTTTTTTAAAGAACAGCTTTATTGAGATTTACATGTCGTAAACTTCATCCTTTTAAGTTTACAATTCAGTGATTTTAGTACATTCACAGAGTTGTCCAATCATCACTACTATCTAATTCCAGATCACCACCCACAAAGAAACCCTGTACCCATTAGGGCCGCTCCCATTCCCCTTTTCCCCGAGCCGCTGGCAACCGCTAATCTACTTTCTGTCTCTATGGATTTCTCTATACTGAACATTTCATGTAAATAGAATCATATAGTAAATGGCCTCTCGTGTCTGGTTTATTTCATATAGCATAACCTTTTCAGGGTACATCCATGTATGAGTACTTCACAACTTTTCATGACCACGTAATAGTACATTGGATGAAAACCCCATATTCTCTTTATCCATTCATCAGTTGATGAGTACTTTGCTTGTTTCCACTTTGAGACGATCATGAATAATCTGCTATGAGCATTCATGTACAGGAGACCTGTTATTTTAAACTATAATATATTTTGAGTTAGAGATTTCTGTTTGTTTTATTTTGCTTTATTTGGTACCAACATTTCCTTATGGATATAAAATGGGTTAATATATGAGAAAATGCCCTTTAAAAATAATGTTTTATGTCTAAGTGAGATATTATTCCAAGCTATACCTATATTCATTCAAGAAATCTTTTTGAACACCTACTCATATGTGTCAGTCATTTTAATAAGTGTTGGGAATATAGTTTACATGACAGAGTCCCCTGCTTTAAGATTTTAGAACACAGGGCATTAAAATACACACAAGTCTTAAAATAATGCTTCTTTCACAAATCATTTTATTCACTCACTGAACTCTATTTTTTCCCAAATATTTGTTGCACTTACAGTTTTACGGGTACTGGGCTAGGTGTTTTAAATTCCCCCCACCTGTCTAGGTAGATACTAACAAATTCTCAGTTTACAGATGACAAAACTGAGATGCAGAGATGTTAAGTAACTTGATCAAAGCCACATAAACGGTTAGGAGCAGGGCTTGGGCTAGGACCTAAATCTGTCTGATGCATGGCCAATATTCTTAAGAACTAGTTGATAGTGCCTTCTAGAAGTCTGTCTTTGCTTTCCCCAGAATATAATTGCGTTCTTAGATTTCATAAATGTTGGTGTTCACATTTGATGAAGAAGAATCTAATGCGATATTAACACCTGCAGTTTACTTAATCATCAGTTACGAAAGTCTTTATATATCTGGATATTGAAGTAAAAAACTCAGTCACCATCTTTTGTGGTCTTGAACCATAAAGTTGCTCAGACGCTGTCTGATGGCATAGCCTGGCTCTTCTAGGAGGCATAGCTGAGCCTCAGTGGCTGTTATCAGGAGACATGGAGGTATTTGTCATGGAAATGGGGATTATATTGTCGAAATACAAAGAAAAATACTTGATATGGCAAATATGTCTACTCACTGAGAGTGTAGAACACAGCATTTTCTGTTCCGCTACAGTGTATATTTCCTTAAAATAAATTCTTTTTTACACAATTATTAAATACAGGGATGATGTCTGTATGATGTGGAAGTTTCATTGATTCTCTGATATTTTTCTAAGCACATTAATAATTTGTGTCAACCCAAAGAACTATTGGGGCAAGATTCTCACTATGAAAAAAGCCTCAACTCTACTTTAGTGTTAGCAGAGTTTGTTTTAGTGACTTCAAGAATAGCTAAGGTTTTCAAGGTAAAGCTGCCTGGTGAAGCTGAGAGTGAGAATAAAAAGACTTTGGGGCTATCCCCACCTCTTGTGTTAAAAATATTGACTTATTAAGAACAATAACATTTAAAATTGTGATAAACCTGGTCTTCTTGGAAATACATTTCCTCAGGGACTTATACCTAGAGAGGTGAAACACAAGTCCAATAATTAAAGCTGCACAGAGTTTACTGACTATGATGCAAGAGACAAATGCCAATGGAGATTGAACTCTGCTGGTATTTCAGATAGGATTTCTATGCCTTTGATAATGCTTTGGCTACACAGTTGTATGTTTTTTGGGTCTTCCCTATCTCAGTTTCCAGCATAATTAATGTGTGTTGTTTGGAAGAGCAGGAGGTATTTCAGAAATACCCATATTGAGTTTTAACAGATATTCCTGTACTTAGGCATTGAGTAGAATTTTCTGAATTTATTTTTGTTTACACACACATGGAATGTGTGTGCACATCTACATGTATGCCTTTTCCCAGCTGTTACTAAACAGGGCACACACACTTGACAGATCTTGTGACTCAGAAAGCATGAAGTGAAATCATTCATTCACAACAAAATATTTTTCATGTAACTTATACTAAATTCCACGCAAGAACAAAGATTGAGGATAAAAGTTTTGCCTTTTGTTAGAAAGTCAAAACTGTGTGATTACTTTTCATCTTGATTCTCCTGGGAGAAAAGAAGGCATGTATAAGAACAAAAGGTGCATATTATGTTATCCCATATATTCACCATAGTTCATAAGAAATTGTATTCTATAAAAGCCCCACATTTTCCATCAGAGAAGAATGAACTGAACATGATTCAATTTTATCAGTGTTTATTTCCAGTGCAATAGGTTATAATTAGACAAGATAAGTGCTCAGGAGTCTAGCATTTCCCACCATGCATGTGACATGACACAAGCAAACCTGCCCTATATTTGCTGACTCTCTTTCCTGTGTGGGGGTAGAAGCATCACAGAGCCCAGTAACTTTGCCTTTGAACTCTTTGAACCTCTTGAACACAGGGCACAGAATTAAAATTTGGATTTTATATAGAACAGAGGACATTTCACTCAAGAGAGGAGCTACCAATATGCTGATCGCCAACGTGCTGATGGCAGTCACAGCCTCTTTCTGCCTCGGTGGATGGCCACAAACACAGGACTCAACCTCCTCTTAGTTCAGAAGGTTGTGGAGAGAGGCAGATCATTGTTGTCTGATGAGGCTTAATGGAGAGGGATAACGGGCAATGGAACCAGAGTGCCAGGTTCTAAGCCACCGCATCCCTATACCTTCATGGCTACAAAGAAGGGATCAGTCTATTTCTTTCCTCTTTCCTCCAGGATCCACAATAACCCAGAAGGTAACTAAGCCCAGTCTGCAGTTTGTGTGGTGGAGAAGGAAACTGAAACCTTGGACTATGTATATGAAGCTGCACTTATAGTTATTATTTATTCTGGTGCAAACAACCACCATGTGGAAAGGATCTTCCTTGTTCACCAGGAGTCTTACAATGAGCAAAACACAACAGAGGGTCAGTATTATCTGAACTTCCAGAAACCAGCCAGTTCCATCAGCCTCACCATCACAGCGTTACAGCTCAGAGACTCAGTAGTATATTTCTTTAACCTATCTGTGCTTCAGTTTCTTCATGTGTAAAATGGTGATAATAGAACCTACCTCATGGAGTTGAGTTGAGAATTAAACAAAATCATGGCTATATAATTATTATAAAATTAAATTATATATAAGCACACACATATGTATATATACATATATACATAATAAAATTTTAGCACAGGTACGTAGCATGGCATGCTGACATAGTAGAGACTCAATACATCATGGTCATTATTAATATAAAGGGCAGTGTTAGCTCTAGGGCCTACATCAGATTTTCAATCATGTGCTCTTTTTATAACACCAAGCTGCCCCTTGACCTGTTTTTCAAGAGAACCAAAGCTCTGAAAAGGCAAGGACATCATGACATTGCTTGAGATGTCACTTCAACAGGGGTTCTGGATGCCTTCTGCTGAATATGCCACTCACAGCTGCCCCTCCCCGGGAAGCCCCCCCTGACAAGCCCAGATCCTGAGAGAGAAGCAGCAGACGATTGATGTTTAAAAGTGCTGTTCTCAAGGGGCAGGCAGGACCACTTTAATTCCCCTGGCTACATCATTAAAGGTTTATTTCCTCATATTTGGTGACAGGCCAAAGAAGAAATGCTCTGAGGTACGATCAATATTCACACCAGCCTTCAAGCTGATTTGGTTTCAGCCTTGCACACTATTGAAATAAACATCAAACAAAGTTCCACATGTCGAGTTCAAAGCCAGCAAAGAGATGGCATTTTCCCCCTGTGCAAATATACAACTAACAGATAAGTTGTACCACTAAATTTCTACAGGTTATGGGGGTTTTTTCCCCTCTTATTTTAAGAGTATATAAACAGTTTTTCAATATATCTGTAATACGACTGATCGATGAATTAATTTTCCCTGAGTTAAGGTAATTATCGGCAGAGAGGATATTCTCATCCTGTATCAAGATTAAACGCAAGCTGTCTTGGGAGTGGAGTGAGCTTTCTAACCTGCTCCAAGAAACTAGGAGGAAGTATCTACTCCCACAGCACAGACATCCCCTCACTCCGCTGCTCATTAACAGGAATGTGGGCGCCGTTTGTCTGGTCACTGAGCTGCAGCTCTGCTAAAATCATTCCCACTGCAGAATATCCTCTCTCCATCTCTACAGGCAAAAACCCCCTCTACACCTCCTGCAACCATACTTTCTGGAAGGAAACGATATCTGTTTTGTTGCTCAATAGTCTGGGAGATGTGGCCTAAACACTGAATCACTGTTATTTTATAATTTATAAGCACAACAACTGAAATGTAGAGTGGTCCTGGAGAATGTATAGTCACCATCCTTATCTTGCAGGTCCTACCCCTTCTGACCCGAATATACAACAGATGTTAGGGCTCACTTCACTTACTTTCCTTCTCTCTGTGCTACCCATAGGCCAGCGTCCAAAAATTATTATTCCATTTGTTTGGTCCAGTTTTCTACTTCGAAAGTCCACTCCACCTTTATCAGTGAAACAGTAATTTATTTTTATTGTATTTGACAAATGTATCCGCCTACGATGGGTTGGGAAAAACTGCTCATTCAACCATGGATTAATCGAGAAGAACTGCATTACACAGTGATTCCTCTCCGAGACGGCACGTTGACGAATCTTGGGTGATAAACAGAACTAACGCCGGTAAAGGGCTTCAGGAGAGTGGGGAGGACTTTCTAGGCGGAGTGATCCTTCTCTGACCCATGGGAACCACGGCCGCACATGCAAGAATGAGACCTAGATTATTCCGTTTAAAAGTTATGCCTGGGATTATTTGGGAAGCTATAGATCTCTGCACCATGCAGAAAATGATGTAAATAATAATTAATAGTTTCCCAAGCATAGTTTTGAGCCTATAAAGCGAATATTTAGTGCTCTCTTCTTAGAGTCCTGTCCCCTTCTGTATGTATCCATCAAGTTATTTTTGAAGAAATAGCGTGACATGGCTGAGGTGCAATTTTCATCATGGCCACCAGATGGCGCTGCTTTCTTTAGCTGTGGTTACATGTTTCTTCGGGTAGAGGTTTGAAGACTACCTTCGCAGCGACACACAGGCATTCGCTGTGCACAAAGGGGCTCTTAGTTTATGAATGAGGAGTTTCTATAAGGTCTCGCTGGAGACTAGCCCTGTTAGATTTGGTGAACTCCAGGGAGCAAGGTTCATTTTCTTCTGCCAACATGCTTTCTGCCATCTGCTCTGTTCTTGGGATCTTCTTAATATTCAGTAAGTAACATTTTACCCTAAATGCTAGTGATTTTTCATTTTCCTGCGATCATAGATAACTTTTAGTTTTCTTCTCTGGCTGAAAAATTTCCACCTGTACATTCCTAACATAACAGAGTAATTATTTTTAGGAGGGACCAATGGAGACTCAGTGAACCAGACAGAAAGCCCAGTCACTCTCTCAGAGGGGGCATCTCTGACCCTGAACTGCACCTACCAGACATATTCAAGTCCTTTCCTTCTCTGGTATGTCCAGTATCTCAATAAACCTCCTCAACTCCTCCTGAAGAGCTCAACAGAAAACCAGAGGACAGAGAATCATTTTCAGGCCACTCTTATTATGAGTGACAGCTCCTTCCACCTGAAGAAACCCTCAGTACAGATGTCAGACTCAGCTGTGTACTACTTCGCTCTGAGAGACACAGTGAGGGGGATGCAGGGGGAGCTGAGCACAAACCCAGAGGGCGCAGTTGGGGCTGAAGGTGAGCTGGCCTAGGAGAGAGAGTTATATCATCTCCCTGGGCAGTGTTGAGTTTATTTAGAGATTTCTTGGGAAAATGAACCAAGCTCAGGTCTAATTCCTGGAAACCTAGAAGGGTGGGAATTGCTCTGCAGGTAGGATACAGTGGATGTCAGTGTTAAAGAGAACCCCAGCTTTGATCCCCAGAAGAGCCCATGCTCAGCCAGAAAGGCTCCTCTCTTCCCCAGACTATAAAACCTCTCATAGGAAACGTTTCCAGGAAAACTTTGTATGGGATTAATTTCTACCAATATATTTTAACTATTTAAATCCCCAAGAATCTTGTGCTTTTAAAGCAACATTCGTGAACCAAACAAGGGGCATAGAATCTGGTCTTTAGTATCCTGCATAGTCTCTGCAACTAAGCTGGGCTTTGCCTCTCTCTGACTCAATCCCAGCTGCAGAAAGCTCAACACAACCCCTCATTAACCCTTCATTCCGTAAAGCTGCGCAGAAAACGCTGCTATGGAGAGACTCTCAGGACAACACTGAGGGATGTGCCCTCCTCTCAGCCACCCTACACATTTGGTGAGAGGCAGCCCAGGCAGGCAAGGCTGAGTCCTTGTTCCGTATGTTCAGTCTCTCTGCTGTCACCCAGATCTCTAAATCCTAGATGTGAAGTAGTCAGTCCCTTGGGTCTGGGCTTTAGATTCTGTGATAGTTCATCTGAAAGGCAGCCAGGATTTTGACCCATCTCAGCTCTTTAAACTAAAAGATTTCAATATTTTTTATATATTTCTCTGTAAAATAGGAAATATCTGTATGCAAAGACCATGGATGTCCCTCACAGGAAGGACCCATGTCAGTCTATAGAGTAGGAAATATAAAGAGTGTAAAGAATAGTAAGGTATATTAGCCAGCTTGGCTATATAACAAGATACCACAGACTGGGTGGCTTAGACAGCAGAAATTTATCTCCTGACAGTTCTGGAGGCTGGAAGTCCAAGATCAAGTACCAGCAAGGGTGGTTTCTGGTGAGCCTCTCTTCCTCACTTGCAGATGGCTGCCTGCTTGCAGTGTCTTCACAAGACTTTTCCTCTAGGCAAGTGCAGAGAGAGAGAGAGAAAGAGAGGGAGGGATCTGTAGTGTCTCTTCCTCTTCTTATAAGGACATCAGTCCTATTGGGTTAGAGCCCCTCCCTTATGACCTCACTTAACTTTAATGACCTCCTGAAAGGCCCTATCTCCAGATACAGTCACACTGGAGGTTAGGGCTTCAGCATATGAATTTTAGGGAGATAAAATTCAGTCCGTAAGAGAAGATACACACTATTATTAACTAGGGAGCCAAATGGATAATGTGATCCCATGTTTCTGGGCTCCAAATTTGAGCTGTAGTAGCACTACACAGGAAAACATGGGTCTCTCATCTGAACAGTGGGCAAACTTCAAACCATAGAAAGAATGCTCAATTCTAATAGGAAACAATGGAGAAGTCTCTTGGGTTCTTTTTACTGATCTTATGACTTAAGTTGAGCTGTAAGTTGAGGAGCTCATGAAGATAGGAGCAAGGACACCTGGGTTTATTCCTCACTTGCCTCCTTTGTTAGCTACTCTTGGTTTGCCCTTTCTCCCAAATCTTCGCTTTTCCCCCAATCTGTCCTGTCCCATGCTGTGGTAGTCCAACCTTTGTGGGTAGGAAGAGAGAGAAAGATCAAGTTTGTTTTTTTATCCCCCTGCCTGCTAGGATGTGGTGGTTCTGACATTAGCTGCCTCCCTCTCTGTTAGGTACTAAATCTTTGTGTCCCTCGGAATTCATATGTTAGAGTGCTAACCCCCAGTGTAATGGGGTTTGGAGGTGGAACCTTTAGTTGGTGATTCAGTTTAGATGAGGTCATAAGGGAAGGGCCCCCATGATGAGATTAGTGACCTTATTTTTTTTTAGTTTTCTTAGAGCAGTATGATCCCAAGTACGATAAATACAAAGAAAGCTCCACCTAGGACATCACAATCAAAATTCTGAAAAAAGAATTAAATAAAGATGAGACCTGAAAAGCAGTCAGAAGAAAAAGACAGACACATTACATGCATGTAGGAGCAATAATACAAATGATAGCTGACTTCTTACCAAAAACAATGGAAACCAGAAAACAATGAAAAAACGTAGTCGAAGTGCTTAAAGAAAAATATTGACCCCCTAGAATTCTATGGCCAGCAAAAATAGCCTTTAAAAATAAAGGCAAAATAAATGTATTTTCAGAGAGACAAAAGCAAAGATCACCTGTCTCCAGCTGATGTGATTACAAGAAATGCTGAAATAAGGTCTTCATGCTAGGGAAATATCCCATGAAAATTCACATTCACAAAAAGAAACAAAGAATACCAGAAAGAGTACATATCTGGGTAAAATTTTAAAATTTTATTGATAACTTTAATAGTTTCATTTACTTTAAAAAGCCATTGTCTCTTTAAATCAAAATAAAAACAATGTGTTGTGGCTATTTATAGCATATTCAGATGTAAGAAGAACATATTTTCTTCATAAAGGGCATGATGTTATTTGAAAATAGACTAAGATAAAGATGCATATTTTAATATCGAAAGCTACAACTGTACTAAAAATAGCACAAAACAGGTAGAGAATAAATCTGAGAGCTCAGAGTAGGCAGAGATTTCTCTGGAATGGGACAAAATATACTAACTGTGAAGGAAAGGTTGTAAGTAGGACAGGAGCAAAATTAAAAATTTCTGCTTACCAAAAAACAATATGAAGAAAATCAATAAACAATCTAAAGTCTGGAAACAATATTTTAGAAAGATATACCTGGAGAAGGATTATTTCCAGAATATATAAAGAACTCTCATAATTCAACAATAAAACGATAACACAATAACAAAACACATCAATAGGATGACTATCAAGTACATAAAATATGCTCAGCCTCATTAGTCATTAGGAAGATGCAAATTAAATTCACATTCAGGTGCCATTCACCCCCACTAGAAGGACTAAAATCAAACCATCAGACAACCTCAAATATTGGCAGATATGTGAAGCAACTGAACCTTTCATGAACTGCTGGTGAGAATGTGAAATGATACAGTCGCTTTGGGGAGTTACCACGGCCCAGCAAGTCCACTCATAGGTATTTATGGAAGAGAAGTGAAAACATAGACCACAACGGCCCAAAAAAAGTGTGTGTAGCAGCCTTATTCATATTTGCGACAAAGTGGAAACAACCCAAATGTCTATCAACAGGAGAATGTGCACACAATTATGGTGCGTGAGGAGTGTTTCTCAGTGATACAGAGGAATGAACCACTGACTGATACACACAACAGCAGGATGGGGCTCTAAAACCTTATGTTGAGCAACAGAAGCCAGACCCTCCCCTCCAAATACTGTATGATTCCATTTATTTGAAATACAAGAGCAGAAAAGACTAAACTATGTGGTTTCCTCTGGGAAGGAGGGTTTGACTGGAGAGCGCACAAGAGGACTTTCCAGGGTGAAGGAAATGTTCTCTATTTTGCTTGGGTGCTGGTTACACAGGTATATACAATTCTAAAACACATCGAAATGAACATATATGAAGTATGAATTTTATTTTAAGTGAAATATACTTCAGTAAAAACATAACCAAAATTACGTACACATGGAGAAATGTGCACCTGCATAATTAGAGAGCTACTTGAATTGTCACAAATGGGAAAAACCCAAGTAACCAGCATCCATATTGAGAAGCAAGACATCAGTCATGTGCCAGGCCACTCCTGTCTCAACCACCCCAAATAAGCACTATCCTGATCCCTAACTGCACAGAGTAGTTTTCTCTGTTTTTGTACTTTATGCAAATAGAATCATTTAGCGTGTTCTCCTGTATCTGGCTTCTTTTACATGATCTTACCTTTGTGAGATTATTCATATTATTATTGTAGCTGTAGATCTTTATTCTCAGAGCTGGATGGTATTCCATTTCCTTTAATAATTTCATTTGTATGTATTCAGCCTCTCACAGTGTATGAATGTCCGGCTTGTCTTCGTTGATTCCGAGTCTGCGGCATTTGTCAGAGGGGTGGGAGTGGACGGTAATCAGAACAGGCCACAGCTGTTCTGTAACAATTAGAAAAGTGCAAATAAATTTCTGCAACAACCACAGAAAGCTGGATAAATTAATTTTCTCTGTGTATGTTTTATTTTATTTTGGTTCTCTTTGTTATTGAGTTATGATTTTTTTCCACAATGAAATGCACCAATCCTACATGTTCAGTTCAATATGCCTTGAGAATTATATGCCTCCATGTAACAAAACAATGCATAGAACACTTCCTTCACCCCAGAAGTGCCCTTGTGCCCCTTTTCAGCCAAATCCCTCCTCCCAGAGACAAGCACTTTGTGATATTTTTATCATTAGTGGAACCATCCTGGACGTTTAAAAAGTTCTAGTTTCTTGTAACATAACATGAACGCTGGATGTCACTAAATTAATGTATTCGTTTAAGGAAGAGAAAATAAACAGATAATTAAAAGCTGCGGTCAGTTTAGTCACAATCATAAATCAGCACATTGATGCCGGGCAAATAAGACACCAGCTTCCATGATGCCGAGACATAAGGCTATTGAGGTCCTGTTCCCAGTGAAAGCCTTTGAGCCCAGCTGCCGCAGCAGTGTGATGAAGAAGCACTTGCAATTTTTGATATAAGAAAATAAGAATACATGGGCTGGAGAGTTTATACTCCTTTTGACAAAAGGATGCAATATTTGAAAATAAGATTTTTCTTACTTACTAGTAAGCAGGAGATCGTAAGTACAGACTTACTATTGATTGCTGTTAGACACATGCAGCTGGACAAATTTGTCAATCAGGAAACTTGCTGTGACAGCATTAAGCAGACAAGGAACTATATCCAGTGTCAGTTTCCCCAGAAACCAATGCCATGCAGTGTAGGAAGAAAAATTAGGATGGCTGAGAGTGACTAGTTCTATATTCCTGTCTAGAAGAAAAATATCGGAGCATATTTCACTGTGGATTTTTGCT